AAAAAAAAAAAAAAAAAAAAGCACACAGAATGGGGAAAATCTTTTGCAACAACATATCAGACAAAGGACTGATCTCTAAAATGTATAGAAATTACAACGTATCTACAAGAAAAAGACAAATTACCCAAAAAATGAGCACAGGACATGAACAGACACTTCACCAAGGAAGACATTCAGGCAGCCAACAAACATATGAAGAAATGCTCACAATCATTAGCCATTGGTTGGTTTGTTGTGTGCCATGGAGTGTTGGTTCTGACTCACAGAGACCCTGTACAGGGTTTCCGATGCTGTAAATCTTTACGGAAGCAGAAAGCCTCATCCTTTTCCTGTGGAACAGATGGCAGTTTTGAACTGCTGACCTTAAGGTTTGCAGCCTGATTCATAACCACTACACTACCAGAGCTCGCTGAATATCAAAACAACAATGAGATATCATCTCACACCAGCAATAACAGTGAAGTTCAAAAAAGCTGAGGACAATAAATGCTGGCAAGGATGTGGAGAGACTGGGACTCTCTTACATTGTTGATGGGAATGTAAAATGGCTCAACCACTCTGGAAAACGGTATGGTGCTTCCTCAGAAAGCTGGAAATAGAAACACCTTATATCCAACAATTCCTCTATTTGGTATATATCCATAAGAAATACGAGCCAGACCACACCAATGTTTATCACAGCACTATTAACAATAGTAAAAAGAAGGGGTCAGCCTAAGTGCCCATCAATGGAAGAATGGATAAACAAACTTTGGTACATATGCACAATGGAATATTATGCTACCTTTAAGAATACCAATGAAGCTGTAAACCACTGCATAGCATGGATGAACCTTGAGGACATTTATGCTGAGTGAAATTAGTCAGTTATAAAAGGACAAATATTGCACAAGACTGTTATTGTAAAAGCTTAGGAAAAGATATTGGTTACCAGGGAAGGCAGGAAGGGAGGGGGAGGTAGAGCACAGGTTAGGGGATAGACACATCACAGTTTGGGTGTTGGGGAGGGCAATACACAAGAAGAGGGAGGAGGATGGAAGAACAAGGTAGATAGGGGAACACTTAGGTAAGTTTACATGGGCTAAATGGACAGAGGTAAATAGTGATGTATGCTCAACTTGAAACAACAGGGATCTGTGATATAGGGATCAAGGCATAGTCTGAATGGGTAAAAGAGGGGAAATAATGTTAAGATGCTTAACTGTCTTATGGATATTGGTTTCCCTTGCTTACTATTGTAAAACAGACACTTGAGTGGGATAGAAAGGAATAATGGGAAACATTATTACAGAAAGCTTATAAGTCTATCTTCAGTCTATAACTGACTGGAATACCTAAAGGGGGTTCTAGAACTTACCCAGTGAAATAGACTTCCTGAGGAGCCTTTATATTGTAAAGAACCTTAAGTGGAATTCTGAGCCCCATTCAGAACCTTCTAAGGTGGGACATTCCCACTTGAAAGGACAAGCAGACCAGCCAGGAGTGGCTACAAGAACAGAAGATACACCCAGAATGAAAGACCAGCATGAAAAGCAAGCTGTTTGCCAGGGAGCCAACAAGGCAAGCACTCAAGTCCCTTCAGGACAAACCTCCTTCCAAGACTGAAACTCAAAGGGAACACAAAAGCAGGCATGTAAACTAGCTGGTGACTGTGTTGGTCTACATGTGAATGGAAGTGGGGGAAGGGTAGTAATTAAGATATCGGCTGAGTTCGACCATATTACAGAGACTCCTGTCGACCTTGAGATAAGAGAGAGAAAAGGAAGGGCTGGTTGGTCCAAAGATGGGGAAACTTGGGAACTCCTGAGCCCATTGACACAGAAGGCTAGAGCTGAGAATGAAGCATCCAGCTGATATGAAGTGGGGGGAGACACACAAGAATGCCCAAACTTGCAGATAGTACCCAACTGACCTAGCTTCAAAGGCTTGATGATCAGAACTCAACTAGAGGAAGACAAAGAAATTTGTAAAGGAAATAAGGATAAATTACTACAATTTTATGAACTTGACCTATATTTACGGCTGTAGTAGCTCAAAACACCAACCAAGAGGGAAGGAATCTTCACATCAAGGATCAAGCCTATTTCCTCAGTATACATGGTTGATAGGGACAGGCAACTTAGACACTAGCTACCTAAAATGGGGGATGGGGGGATAAAAGCATGAAGTGGCTGGCTTACCAGTTTTCAAGAGGAACTTGAGGTTCAGAGTGTGTGGGAGAAAGTCGAATCCCCACTGAATAATTTTCATCTTGTCTAGATGGGTCTGGTGAAAGGAAATGGGGATAGGATTCTTTTGATTCAATAGTGAGTAATTGTTATCATGACTACCAGTGATTGTCACAACTGTACAGGTAGAAGCTGTGTAACATAAAGGGAGGAGTAGTTAATCTTACATTATAGGAACAGAGGACCCTAAGACTATCAAGAGAGAAGAATATGAGTGGAATATGGGACCCTAACCAGAGAAGCCACAACACCAGAGATGGAGCCAGAAGTGATAGCATGGAGAAATAGAGCAGTTGAGGACGCTAGACTCATGGAAAGAGAAAGGCTGTGTGCTGGCAGCCAGAAGGCTTGTTTGCAGAATGTGCCCTTTGATTGTTTAAATGATTATATATTCTTGAGCATTTCTGTGTACATAAACAACAACAACAACAAAAAAAAAAAAACCACAGAGGAAATACTGTTAAATGATGATGCATGGAGAGGATTGTAATCATTGCAATGAAGCAAAACACGATAGGATGAGTGCAAAACTGATCTTATCACACATAAACTATCACCCAATTCACAGTAAAATCTTCAAAAAAAAAACAAAACAAAAAAACGGGTCATCTTGCTTTCCAGAACTTAAGCAAGAATGGAGGAACCCTAGCTGCTTACCTGGTGTTGCACTGGATACTGTTGGCCACTGTTGATCAGGCCCTCCTGGACCAGCCCGTAGAACACCAGCCTCCTCCAGATGCACAGAACTGAGTAAACATATAGACCCAAATAACATTTATATTATAAATGCCTTTTCAATTCTCCTTCCACCCTCAGAAATTACATCTATGGATGCAAAGTTGTAGCTACCACACTCTGCTCATGTTTGAATGAAAGCAATTACTGCTGAGCAGCCACCTTGCAAACACTGCAATAATGCTGACTTATAGACTGCTATACTATCCAGGCAATAAACATGTTTTATCATTATGGAAATTTAGCAGGAAGTCCATCGGAGAGCTAATGACATATTAACACCTTAATGCTGAGCAGGCAAGGAGCTCAAAACTCCAAGCCTCTCTTAGCAGGTTCTCTTGTGCCTGAATTCTCTACAACAAAGAGGAAAATACACTAAAACTAATTTTTTGCTAAGTGTAGTGTTATTCCAGATTGGCTGCCCAATTAACTCTTAACCTTATTTTCTGTTTTAATCTTTCTATATATTTTACGCACAGACAATTGGAGGGGTGAGAGGTCTGTAAGTTCAATATTCTCTCACTCATTGACTTAAAACAATGTATGCAGTGGAAATACATTTATTAAACTCTGCCCTGTCACTATTCTTCACTTTATCTATGCCCTAGCATCTACTCCTTTTGTCCAAATATTAATATCCTTCAAGTGTTCTTGAATCCTACCAACAAATAATATAGGTTCAATTAGATTCATTCAAAAGATACAAACATCCTGGCATCTGTTCAGCTTAAAAAAGCAGATTTTTCAAAGGACATCTACATGACTGGAAAGGCCAAGAAGCCAAGCATATGCATGGAAAATAAAATTGTTATTTAAGCCACAATTCTAATGCATGTTCAATGCACTACATTGTGAGGCAAATACAGCACTGTAATATTCAATTTTTATCTCATTTTCATTCTATTTAAATCTTATAACATTTTACATTAACTGTAACCTGAATAGGACCACATTTAGCTTTTTTTTTTTATTAGGAAGTGGTATACTTTGGTATTTGAAATATGTCATATCTCCTATCTTAAATACAGTTTTCAGGGTATTTTTCATAGCTTTGATACTTGCCAGCGAACAACTTTACAAACTTCACCTGGGAGAGAAAGAATTAATATTTTAAACCATGCTTTTACGTATTGAACAGTCTCACCAATAGCTCAGATGCAGATAAAAGCATAAAATTATTTAATAACAAATATAAAGAATCCCTTCTGATACTTAATATTCTGATGTCTACATGAGTATTTCTGGCCTAAAATTATGATCCAGGTTCCAATATGACATATCACTAGCGCCAATGAACTGTCTTTAGCCCTTTATTATTGCTTCTGATTCAGGAATAGCACCCGATGTAATGATTTCTATTCCATTTGTAATTCTTACGAGTGTATTGATTTATTGTGGTTACGAATTGGGCTGCAAACCTTAAGGTTTGCAGTTCGAAACTACCAGTCACTCCGTGGGAGAAAGATGAGGTTTTCTGCTCCCGTAAAGATTTACAGCCTTGGAAACCCTGTACAGGGTCACTATGGGTCGAAACCGACTCGGCACATAACAACAACAACAACAACAATATTTTTAATAGGATAAACTAATTTTTCATCAACTCAACACATACTTTGTAAACTCTCTCTATAGAAACTAATTTAGATTTGGTGAAGATCTACTTAACCACGGCCCAGATGTTTTGTGGAGTTTACATTGTAAGTTTAGTACTTATTTTTAATGAAATTCTTTTGAAAATAATGCTAACAGCTTTTTGGTCCTCCCTATTTGGTTTTCAAAGATAATTACAAATAGTGATTCTTTTATTTAGTCCCATGTCATGGATATAATATCAGTTCTGGATATAATGGTAATTCATCCATTACTTCCAGAAAGATAAATTAGAGAAAGCAAAATTATATATTTGCTTTTGCTCTAGGTTAAGATACATTTCAGCTCTCGGTACTCAATAATGACCACTCACATGACACATCCTTTGAAGAGCCCATGTCATTTATAGATATAAGACAGCAATGAGCTGGCAACAAAAATCAAATGCTTACCAAGTGCTGGACAAGAATAATAGCCAGTTGTTGTGTATAATAGAATTTAATAATCAATGAGTGATAGAAATCCAAGGTATGACAGAAATCCAAGGTAGGCAATATAAGTATATACATTGTTATACAGTTATTGTTGCTGTTACGTGCCATGAAGTCATTTCCGACTCATAGCGATCCTGTATAGGGTTCCAGAGGAGAGGCTGGTGAATTTAAGTCTATGCCCTTGCTGTTCAAACTGATCTTGCAGTCCAGCATTAAACCACAGTATATACCCCAAGTCTAAAATATCAATAGTAATTGACATTTTTGAGACACAGAAAGTATAGGCAGAGAAAGGAAAAAGGAAGTAGGATTCACTTCCTGGTAGAAATTTTGATGAGACAAAGTTCATAGCAGCCCGTCTCTGTGATTTTTCAGGTATTGTTCATTGCCAACACTTGATAAACATTTGGCACTGACCTCTTACAATATTTCAAATAGAAAGACGTGAAAATAATTGCATTCCCCTGACAATGTGTCTAAATCTTCTTAGTCTTGACAGCTGCTTCCTGTCTATGGAGGCATATTTTTATCTGAACCACACAGAGCTAATGCTACTTCTGACTAAGAGAAAGGAAGAAGTACATACCTGTGCATTCCTGCTCTCAGGGAGGCAGAATAACGCCAATCAGGGTTGGGCTGTCGGGGCTGTAAAAAACAAATGGAGTTTTCTGTTAATATAGCCAAACATAATATTCTCTCAGTGATGCTGCTAGTTCATTAGCTTTTTCCTTATATATTTCCACATATCTAAAAAAAGTTTTGGCAGAGCAACCCTGTATAGGGTTTCCAAGGAGCAGCTGGTGGATATGAACTGTCAGCCTTGTGGTTTGAAGACCAATGCTGATTCTACAGCACCACACCAGGAGTCCATATACAGTACTTTGTTGTTCAGTGCCATAAAGTTGTTTCTGAGTCAAAGCAAGCCTGCAAGGGTTTCCAAGGAGTGGCTGGTGAGTTTGAAAAGCCAACCTTGCAGTTCAAACCAACCTTGCAGTCCAGGGCATTAACCCACAGCACCACACCAGGACTCCATATAGTACTTGGTGGTGGTGGTTATGTGCCGTGGAGTCAGTTCCAATTCATAGCGACCCTGTACAGTACTTAGGAGAAACTAAATTAGCTAATCAGGCTCCTTGCATAGAGTAAGTATCATGGCAACCCAGGTTTTGCCCGGAACTATGCAAAAACTAGTTTCTTAAGACACTAGGGGAAGAGCAGTCTGTTTTGAAAACAGGAAAAGCTTCCTTTGCTCTTGCCCTCAAATGTCCCATTAAGGGAACATTTCCAATTATATTCCAGTTAAAACAGGACACACAACTATATAAATTCTGTTGGGTTGGCGGGACTGCAGAGGACTGTAATCTGCTGCACACTTTGCAGACTGCAGCATGTTTGACCCAGAATGGATATGCCCAGTCATAACACTAGCAACTGATAACATCCTCTTCTGCTGATTAAAGACAAATACTAAGGAGAGGAAAACAAACCAACACAGAGTTTGACCTTGTTATTGCTACATAATTCATTTCATAAAACTGTACTTGTTCCCTGCTCCTCCCTGAGTGCTTTGCCTCCTCACTCCATTATTGTTCAATAAGCTCTAAGAGTAGCTGAAACCCAAAAGGAACCTGTCTCATTCTTCACCATCTGTGCATTGGGAAGATCTGTCTACAAATCGTTAATCTAAAATGGAGAGGACAAAGAGGACATTATGGGCATCTCAGCTGTTCCTCAGAAATCCTATACAGGACCACTATGAGTCAGAATCGAATTGACAACACTTAACAACAACAGCAAACTGTTTAGGAGTCTTGGAGTGTCACAAACAGGTAAGCACTGGGCTACTAACAAAAACAATGGCAAGTCAAACCACCCAGCGGTACCCTGGAAAAGCAATGTGTTCCAAAAGGTTGCAACCATGAAAGCCCTATTGAGCAGTTCTATTCTGAAACATATGGGTTCACCATGACTCAGAATCAACTCTACAGCAACCAGTGGGGTTTTGTTTTTGTTTTTTTCAAAAGACTATTAGGAGAATTATGTTGTTGTTATTGTTGTTGTTGTTAAGTGCCGTTGAGTAGGTTCCAACCCATAGCGACCCTAAACAGGATTTCCGAGGCTGTAAATCTTTACGGGTGCAGAAAGCCTCATCTTAGGCTGGGTAAAAACTACTCTGCAATTACTGGGAACCAAATCTATCACCATCACAAACTTGTATTGATTAGCAAAAATTTTATTCTGAAAAACCTGTTATAGATATCCCTCTAGAGGTATTTTTATGGGCAGAGATCCTGTTATGGAACTATAGGATAAGCAATGGACTGCTAACCACAAGACTGGTTGTTCAAGCCTATCAGTCGCTCCTCAGAAATCCTGTACAAGGGTCACCATGAGTAAGAACTGACTCAATGGCACTTAACCATAACAACAAAAAACATTACTGAATATACTTGGGTCTGTTTAAGTGAAAAGATGGGAAAGGAGGTTTACTTTGTCTCTAGATTATCATTAGCATATTTGGTAGACACAAAGCCATGATAAAACCAATAAACCATTTCAAAATATCAATAATTCTTGTTCCTATTACTCTTATAGTTCATTTTAAAATGCAAAGTATTGTTTAAACACATACCTGGGAGAATTTCATAAACACATGAGGAAGTAGTCAGCATCCTGCTTCCAGACAGATTATAGAATTGCTAAATGATATTCAAAGGAACCCTGATGGCACAGTGTTTAAGCACTCTGCTACAAATGGAATGATGGTGGTTTGAACCCACCAGCCATACCACAGGAGAAAATGTGGCAGTGTGCTTTCATAAAGATTTACAATCTTGGAAACCCTATGGGATGTTCTACTCTGTCCTATAGGGTTTGGTTTGGTTTAAACAGTATTCAGAGATTAAGCCAAAGTCAAGGACCAGGAAAAGCTACAACTGTTGTTGTTGTTGTTAAGTGCTGTCAAGTCAGTTCCGACCCATAGTGACCCTGTACAGGGTTTCTGAGGGTGTAAATCTTTACGGGAGTAGAAAGCCTCATCTTTCTCCTGCAGAGCGGCTGGTAGTTTCGAACCGCTGACCTTAAGGTTTGCAGCCCGATTCGTAACCACTACACTGTAGGATGGTTTATTTCAAATGTTCCTTCTCCCAACTCTATTCACTCTCTCTGCACTGGCAAGATATAAATATACAAGCTGCTTCATCTTTGGTTTTCAAATTCTGACTAACTGCTATAAGTAAGAGGGCTTCAAAATATCGTGGAAAATATAATTATCTTTCAATTTCATGTATCCATGAAATTTGGAAGCCCCCTCATATATTTCATATGAGGTAGCACAGAGAACCCTCTAGATAGGGCTCCCATTTCTACCAGTGGTGTAAATGGGAACAAAAAAAGAAAGTATTTGTAAATCATTTTGAAAATATAATGGAAATACTTTTTTTTTAATCCTCATTATCATCCTCTCTCTCCTTACCATCAGCCGTACTAATGTCAGCTTGTCAGCTGTGAAACCTTCCCTCCAGAAAGACTTTGACATCTGTTGAGTAAATGTTGCCAATTTTTCTAAGATTGGATAACATTCATGATGAAAATTGCTGAAACTTGATCTTTGAAATGAAATCACCAACCTCATTTTGCTGAAAGACATAATTCTAACAAGACTGACCAGGAAACTCAGCTCACTGAACAATCTCACTTCCTTAATGATTACACTGTATTTATCTTGCTGTCTTTTCTATAACAGTCCATCAGCAACATGATGTTTCCCTGACTCATTGGCTGGAATCATTGTTATGTGAGGTTTTATGATAATAAGATCATGCTGGGAAAAGGTAAGGAAGAAAGTATTATTTTGTAAATCTCTGCTCAATACTATTGTTGTTAATACCAAAGAGCCAGTTCTGACTCAGTGACCCTGTATAGGGTTTCCGAGGAGCAGTTGGTGGGTTTGAACTGCCAACCTTGTGGTTTACAGTCCAGTGCAGATCCTATAACTGCCATTACTGAACACTTTGCACAAGACTTTGTAGAAGAATCTTCATCAAAAGGGAAAATTTTCAGAACAAAATTTCAAATTCTCATGGAATGGAGACTTCCTGGAGCCATGAAAGTTGAATGAACCCTTAAAACTATTGACCCAAATCAATATTAAATCAAAAATATTACCTGAAGTCTTCTTAAAAACAAACAATAGTTTGGTTTTAACTAGTAAAAAAATGTCTGTTTTGAGCATTATGCTCTTTTAAGAACTTTCTACAGTTTGCAATAATAACTATACAGTTCACAATGGGAGAACAGTGGCTCTGTAGGAAAAGCACTGGATTGAAAACCACAAAGTTGGTGATTTGAGCCCACTAGCTGCTCCACTGGAGAAAGAAGAGGCTTTCTGCTCAATACTAAACAATGGTTTAGTACCCCCAAAGATTTACAGCCTCAGAAAACCTATATTGTTGTTGTTGAGTTGGTTCTGACTCATAGTGACCCTGTACAGCAGGAGGTGAGGAAGTTTTTTTTCTGCCAAAGTTTATAACATCATTTGTGGGCCATACAAAATTACCAACTTAAAAATTAGCCTGCTCCCTTCCAAGACTGAAATTCAAAGGGAATACACAAGCAGGCATGTAATCTTGCTGGTGACCATGTTGGTCTACTGATAAGTAGAAGTGGGGGATAAACAGCAATGAAGTTGTGAGCTAAGTCTGACAACGTTCAATAGACTCCTGTCAACCTGGATCGCGACCTGGGTGGCTAGCAGTATAGTGAGACCTGGGGACTTCTGAGCCCATGGACAGGGACATAGTCACAGAGGACTAGAGTGGTGAGTGAAGCAAACAGCTGATGTGAAGTGAGGGGTGATGCACAAGAATGCCCATACTTGCAGATACTACCCATTTGACCTAGCTTCAATGGCTGGATGATTAGAACTCGACTAGAGGAATAAAGAAGAGGAAAAAAAGTGTAATCTGCTACAATCTGATGAACTTAACCTATACTTATGGATGTAGTTGCTTAAAAGAGGGAACAAATCTTTACAGCAAGGATCATTCCCACCCCCTTGATACAGAGGGTTGACAGGGATGGGCAACTTAGACATCTACCCAAAGTGTGTGTGGGGGGTGGGGGTGGGGGAACGGACAACAAAGGCATGAAGTGACTGGCTAACAAGTTTTCAAGAGGGAGCTTTAGTTTCAGAAGGTGCGGGGAAGGTAGAATCTCCACTGAGTGATTTCCAACCTGTCTAGATGGGACTGGTGAAAGGAAATGGGGTAAGACTCTTGTGGTTCAATAGTGAATAATTGCTATCAGGACTGACTGTGGATGTTGCAAATGTAAAGGTAGATGTTTTGTAACAAAAGGAAGGGATTGTTAGATGTTGCAGCCCAGGAGTGGAGGGCCCTGGGACCATCAAGAAGAGCAGAGAATGGAACCCTATCTAGAGAAGCAGTGACACCAGAAATGGAGGCACAGACAATGATGGGGAGAGATGGAGTGGCTGGAGACTCTAGACTCAAGGAAGGAGAGGGGCTGTGTGCTGGTGGCTAGGGGGTTGGGGGTGCTGGTGTGCAGGGTATATATACCTTTGGGTATTTGAATGGTTATATATTCCTGAGTGCTTCGGTGTACACACCAAAATACAAACAAAC